GATAAAGGGGGAAATGATTGCATCATAAATGAATTAAATTGAAAAATAAAACAAGTGGGTGGTGTTGATGGTAGACATGTGGGGCGGGTGTGGGAGGCGGCCTGCTCTGAACATCATGTGTCGCCATTGCCTCATTTTGGTCCTCGGTCAAACGCCAATCTAGGACAAAACATATTCACCAAATAAATAACCGTTATATACACATCTGTAATAAACAATAATCATACAAAATATATGTGAGTGGTTTATGTAACTCATATAAAAACGTAAAAACTGAAGCGTGAAATTTAAAAAAAAAAAAGTGAGGATTAGAGCGTGAGATGTGTTACGTGACTTGGGTGCTGTGGGAATGACGTCACAACCCAGGAGTGTCCCTCCGCTGCCAGACGTGTGACGTCTCCTGGTATTGTAATATAACCTTAGCTGCCTCGCTAATGGAAGTTTCATGCTCATATATTAACACCCTCCTGCATTCTGTATTTAAAATCTTGCATAGTACTTTAAACAATCAATCCTAAAAAAAAGCAAGAGTAACGCCAGCTCATAAAGGATGTAACACGGCGGACATCAATAATTACAGACCCATATCAAATCCACCTATTTAATCAAAAATATTTGAAAAAATTATTTACAAACAGCTGTACTCCTATCTCGTAAAATTCAATATACTAAGTCCCTGTCAATTTGGCTTATGCTTCCAAAAGAGTATCAATGATGCAATTGTTAGTCTGCTTGACTTAATCTACTCAGCCCTTGAAAAAAATGAGTTTCCGATTGGACTCTTCATTGACCTGAGAAAGGCTTTTGATACTGTTAACCATAACTACCTCTTACTGAAACGCCACCATTATGGAATCCGAGGCCTTGCCCTGAACTATATCCGATCCTATCTTAGAGACAGACACCAATATGTGCCATCAATGATATAACCTCTCCTACTCTACCACTAACCGTAGGGGTGCCACAGGGCAGCATCCTAGGACCCCTCCTGTTTCTTATATACATCAATGATCTGCCTAATGTCTCTAACATGCTTAAACCTATATTGTTTGCTGATGATACTACTCTCATCTACTCTGACCCCAACCCACTCATATTAAATAATGTTGTAAACAATGAAAAAAAGTCCACTTGTGGATGTCAACCAACAAACTCACACTAAACATAGAAAAGACCTACTACATCTTATTTGGAAGCAAATCAACAAATGCAATTCAGCTTCAGATAGATAATGTTAACATTAGCAATAAAAATGATGGAAAGTTCCTTGGCCTATACTTAGACAAGAGACTCAACTTCAGCACCCACATACAACATATAACTAAAAAGGTTTCTAAAACAGTTGGTATACTCTCTAAGATCAGATATTATGTACCCTACTCTGCTCTCCTCTCACTCTATTATGCACTTATCTATCCCTATCTTACTTATGGTATCTTGGGTGGAAAGGGAGGGATTAAAATTGGAAAGGGTGTAATGCTGACCTTCAATAAAGAAATTCTGGAGTGCTTCTGTGCAAGGGTTAGGATGAGTTAGCCTAAGTATTTTTTCAAACTTGATACATTAATTGTAAGTGACTCCTTATCATCCTTAATTGCTCTCAACTCTTTAAGACATAACTGTAACATGCTCGTGTCCGAAGCTAGACACAAATACAACAAAATTATTAAAGATGGTAACAGAGTCCATTTCATGTGGTCTCCATCTCATGTTGGCCTCCGAATGCATGATAGAGCTGATAAGTTAGCCAAAGAATCTGCCTTTAAAGGAGACGTTGAGTGTAACCTTGGATTGTCAATGAGCAATCTGAGAGCAGCAGTACACCAAGAACTTCAACAAGATCTTGTAGATCTGAGGCAAAGTGAAATCGACACCAGTAATTCCATCTATTATCATACTATCATGCAAGAGGAACCACACATCTATGGTTCACCCAATAAAATCAGCAGACTTCTAGATGTTACTACTGCTCGGCTTAGACTCGGTTACAAGTATCTCTGGGAATTCTCATTATCTGCCGATGTAGACCTGACCAAATGTAAACTGTGTCAACAAAATTATTCGCACACCCTCCGTCACTATGTGATGGAGTGCGAAAAGATACGTGAATTTAGAGACAATTCTATAACAAATGTTGCAACGATGTGTAAATACCTGTATTTAATTCAAAATGATCTGCTACCAGAAATTTTAGCCAAATATCCCCAGTTTGCTAACTGTAGGTAGTAACTAAGTGATTGTAACCTATCCACCACTGCCCACTGGAACATATCAATTGTGACACTAGCTCTCCACATATGTCAGTTGCTTAATTTAGAAACTGTACTTGTGGTCGATCTCGAACCCATTTATGACGTGACGACTTATACTGAATTTTGTAACTAGCTCATCAAGATTGTAACTTGCTTAGCTAAATGAATTGTGAGGTTCAGTCCCTGAGCCCATTATGTGCCTCTGTAACCCTTTCTACTACCACCCACAAGATGGGTATGGGGTGCATAATAAATGAACTAAACTAACCTTTTGAAGACGTTGTCTGGATCAATATCCTCTAAAATTGTTCAGTATTTTAAAAGTTTCTTCGAGATCCGCGAGTCATGCCTGGCTTGCAGCGTTGTTAGTCCTGTGGCCCTCAACCGTTCCTGGTATAAGAGTTGACTTGATTCTGGGATTATTTTTGTTGCCCTGTTTTGAACTTTCTCCAATGCAGCTATGTTTTTCTGAAGATGAGGTCTACATGCTTGGATATAATAATCCAAGTGAGGGCGCACCAGATATATATATATATATATATATATATATATATATATATATATATATATATATATATATATATATATATATATATATATATATATATATATATATATATATATATACATATATATATAGTTCAATAATTACCTTTTCCTTTTTCTTAAGTCAAAGGTACGCTTGATTATTCATAAGGTTTGGTTAGCTGTTTTACTGCTGCTCCCTGTGTTGCATCTGTCAGTGAATGGCGGCTCCTGACTCCAAGGACATTTTCTTCATTAATCTGCTTCTTTGTTTTCTTCTTTGTTTGCCATTGTTTTATCCATTCTAGTATTTTGCAATTTATTCCAAGTGCTTGTAATTCCCTTGCCCTTCTTTCATGTGGTACCTTGTCAAAAGATTTAGCGAAGTTCAGGTATACTACATCTTTTGGAAGTCCTTTGTCTGAACCGCTGGTTACCGTTTCCAAAGATGTGAGCAGGTTTGTTATGCAAGATTTATTTTTAACAAACCCATCTTGCGCTGATTTTACTAGATTGTTTACATTGAGATGGTGAATGATTCACTCCCCTTAGGAGTCTGTCCACGAGCTTGCAGAGATATACGTCAAGGTCAACCTGATCGGACCGATGAAAATAAGAGGGTGACATTTGCATATTTCCAATCATAGGGAACTATACCTTGGTTCAGAGATTATCTGAAAATTAATTTCAGTGGTAGACATAGTTCATTCACGACTTTGGATTGAATTCCGTCCACACCTGGGGCTTTTGAATCTTTTAGTTTGTCAGTGTTCTTCCGGATTACATCCCCCCCCCATCTTCCTGCTTAGATAGTACTCTTGTAACTATGTGTACCATCATACATCATGATGTATGATGGTATGATACCATCATACATCACCATACCATCCATACATATATTGTACCATCATACATATATTGACGTAATGGACAGTTATATAATAAAATTTCATACAGTTCACTTTACAGAGTCCGGAAAATATAGCTAAAGACTGAATGTCAATATTCCTAGTCCTAGTATAGCACATATATGTTCTATATTAGGCCTCAAATAGCGTGTATTAGGCCTAGGAGGATTGGGTTAGGTTTTATTAGCAACAGGATGCTCCAAGTGGTTTAATTACTTTTTCCGGTTTGTCCAAATTTGATAGTACCAAATTCTACTTTCTGAGTGTCCATTACATCCACATGTGCACGATGGTCCACCAGGTTACTATCAGTACTATCTAAACAGGAGGATGGACTGTTACATCACACATTATGGCAACATCCCTTAATTCGTTTTCTTCACTTGCTTCAAACATTTGTGTGGGTATTGTGATGTTGTCTAATCTCTCTAATGTGAACATTGATATACAGTATTCATTCAGTGTTGGCTGTATACATGGCGCCTATGTATGTATATATATATGCAGCCTTTATGCATGAATACATATATGTAACCTATCTATCTTTTTACCTAAAGGCCATTGGTTCTCTATAGGGGCCTTGACGGAGACAGGATGCCAGTGGTTTGTCAACGTGTTGGTTTTTACGGCTTTGGTGGATATGTGGCTCCATGGGTTTATAATCCTATGGGTGAAAAAATCTTCTGTTATCAGTCCTCCACTGTGGTTTGTTGAGCTTCAAGTTGCTGACCCTTGTGTGTTACATTTGACCTTTTATTAAAATGGTCTCGATTAATATCCTCCAACTTGTTCAGTTATTTGCAAGTTTTGCTTTATTCGTAACAACTTGTACAGATCATTACAATAATGGCCTGGCTAAACAAGTGTATTGCAGTCTAAACGATACTTACATTTTAGGCATAAAGTAGGTGACATATAGCTTACAATTTGAAGGGTGACATATTGTTAAAATATATGGGGTATGATTAAGTACTAAAATGAAATATATATATATGTATGAATTTTTCTCTTGAAATGTATCTTTATCATTTATTAATTCTGATTGAAATTACCTACTTAAAATTATCTGTTAGATTAAGGACCTGCCCGAAACGCTGCGCGTACTAGTGGCTTTACAAGAATGTAAATACTGTACTATCCAATGTGTTCTCACAAACCCAATGTACCTTCTTGTATATATATAAATAAATAAATAAATAAATAAATAAATAAATAAATAAATAAATAAATAAGTGTTTTTATCCAAATATGTCTTACTATTCGGAGCTTTTTGTACACAAAATTATGAATACATTCGGCTATGAATCATACGACGAACACTTAGCGTGTGGAGGCGAACCTTCCCCTTCCCCCAGGTGCAGTACGACACCTGCTCCCAGGCGACGGCAGCGGGCGAGGGGTGCCCACTAGTGACCGGGTCAAGTGTGGCTCAGTGACACCCAGTGTAGTGTATACTGTACTACACACTCCGTGTACGGTACTTTTATCACACACTTGACGGACTCTTTGTAACAAAGTGTCACACAGACGCTGTACACAATATTCTAGCTGTTAGATTGCATTCATTGCCGTGATTAGTAGGAAGACCAGACAGATGATTGTGGTTGCCAAGTGTCAGTTCTCAGTATCATAAACTTTCAAGACCAAAAAGTGAAAATCGAGCACTTGGGAAGAGTGAGGAGAGAATGTCGCCGTCACGGGTGTTGACGCTGCTGCTGGTGCTGCTGGTGGTGCTGGCGCTACTGACGGACGACGTGGAGGCGGCTCGTCGACGTCGTCGCCGTCGTCGCCAACGAGGCAGGAGGACGAAGGAGGGGCCAGAGTCGAGGCGTGGCGCCCGCAGGATCCGACACGCGGCCGGCAAGAGAGCAGAGTTCGTTAGGCGGCGGCTGAGGAAGTCACGACCTGTTGACGAGGAGGGCAAGCTGAGGCTCCTGGAGGGGCGTGAAGACTGGGAGGGTGAGTCTCACTCTCTCTCTAAAGGTCTAAAAAAGATCTTATGCGTTATCGTTACTCCCAAAATAAATGTATCCTCTAAATAAATAATCTAACCTCTCCTAATAACCCATCCTATCTGAACCTTACTCATCCTGTCTGAACCTTAGCTATCATAATCTTACCTATCTTGAACAAATCCACGATGTGGCTTTGTTCATTTGATGCATCGCGCTTACCTATCCTGACCTAACCTGTCTATAAGCCAAAATCTTAACCTAACCTAACTTAACTAAAATGAAATATATATATGTATGAATAGAAAATGTATCTTGTGTGAGATGCAGGAGGCGGTATATGGGCGTTCCTTGGGGACTGTGCTCCTGCTCCACCTCTCAAGGTATAGACTTCTCTCACTAATTAATATCCTTACCACCAATGTACAATAGTTAAATTAGTTATGTTAAGACCTGAAACTAGCCCCAGGTCTTACTCTCATTAACTTTATTAGTTTATTTTGCATTGGCCTATTGTAGGTTACATACCTTGTCTACCTTGTATACGTTCTAGGGATCAACAGCCCCGCGGCCCGGTCTCCGACCAGGTCTCCAACCAAGCTTCCTGGTTAGTTGTCTGGTCAACCAGGCTGTTGGACGCGGCTGCTCGCAGCCTGACGTATGAATCACAGCCTGGTTGATCGGGTATTCTTTGGAGGTGTTTGTCCACTTCCCTCTTGAACACTGTGAGATGCCGGCTAGTTATGCTTCATAAGTGAAGCGGGAGAGTTGAAAAGTCTTGGGCCCTTGATGTTGATAAAGTTCTCCCTCAGAGAGCTATTGCATCTCTGCTTTTCAACGGGGGTATTTTGCTCATCCTGCCATGCCTTCTGGTCTCATGTGATGTTATTTGTGTTCAGATTTGGAACCAGTTCCTCTAATATCTTCCACGTGAAGATTATTATGTATCTCTCGCCTGCGTCTAGATAACACAAATTCTGAACTTTGAATAGGTTTCAATAATTACATTTGCAAATTTCCAATCTATGGGGACTATCCCTTGGTCCAGAGATTTTGTGAAAAGTAATTTCAGCCGTAGACAAAGTTCTTCTGCCAGGTCCCTTCATAACTTTTGATTGGATTCCATCCACACCTGGGGCTTTTGAGTCTTTTAGTTTATCAATGTTCTTCCTGATTATGTCGCATGTACTGGGTATATCCCTTAATTCTCTCTCTTCGCCTCCTTCAAACATATGTATTCACCTAGTTGTGCTTGCGGGGGTTGAGGTCTGCTCTTTCGGCCCTTTTACCACCTTCCCTCTCCCTCACCACCTTCCTTCTCCCTCACCACCTTCCCTCTCCCTCACCACCTTCCCTCTCCCTCACCACCTTCCCTCTCCCTCACCACCTTCCCTCTCCCTCACCACCTTCCCTCTCCCTCACCACCTTCCCTCTCCCTCACCACCTTCCCTCTCCCTCACCACCTTCCCTCTCCCTCACCACCTTCCCTCTCCCTCACCACCTTCCCTCTCCCTCACCACCTTCCCTCTCCCTCACCACCTTCCCTCTCCCTCACCACCTTCCCTCTCCCTCACCACCTTCCCTCTCCCTCACCACCTTCCCTCTCCCTCACCACCTTCCCTCTCCCTCACCACCTTCCCTCTCCCTCACCACCTTCCCTCTCCCTCACCACCTTCCCTCTCCCTCACCACCTTCCCTCTCCCTCACCACCTTCCCTCTCCCTCACCACCTTCCCTCTCCCTCACCACCTTCCCTCTCCCTCACCACCTTCCCTCTCCCTCACCACCTTCCCTCTCCCTCACCACCTTCCCTCTCCCTCACCACCTTCCCTCTCCATCACCACCTTCCCTCTCCCTCACCACCTTCCCTCTCCCTCACCACCTTCCCTCTCCATCACCACCTTCCCTCTCCCTCACCACCTTCCCTCTCCCTCACCACCTTCCCTCTCCCTCACCACCTTCCCTCTCCCTCACCACCTTCCCTCTCCCTCACCACCTTCCCTCTCCCTCACCACCTTCCCTCTCCCTCACCACCTTCCCTCTCCCTCACCACCTTCCCTCTCCCTCACCACCTTCCCTCTCCCTCACCACCTTCCCTCTCCCTCACCACCTTCCCTCTCCCTCACCACCTTCCCTCTCCCTCACCACCTTCCCTCTCCCTCACCACCTTCCCTCTCCCTCACCACCTTCCCTCTCCCTCACCACCTTCCCTCTCCCTCACCACCTTCCCTCTCCCTCACCACCTTCCCTCTCCCTCACCACCTTCCCTCTCCCTCACCACCTTCCCTCTCCCTCACCACCTTCCCTCTCCCTCACCACCTTCCCTCTCCCTCACCACCTTCCCTCTCCCTCACCACCTTCCCTCTCCCTCACCACCTTCCCTCTCCCTCACCACCTTCCCTCTCCCTCACCACCTTCCCTCTCCCTCACCACCTTCCCTCTCCCTCACCACCTTCCCTCTCCCTCACCACCTTCTCCCTCACCACCTTCCCTCTCCCTCACCACCTTCCCTCTCCCTCACCACCTTCCCTCTCCCTCACCACCTTCCCTCTCCCTCACCACCTTCCCTCTCCCTCACCACCTTCCCTCTCCCTCACCACCTTCCCTCTCCCTCACCACCTTCCCTCTCCCTCACCACCTTCCCTCTCCCTCACCACCTTCCCTCTCCCTCACCACCTTCCCTCTCCTTCACCACCTTCCCTCTCCCTCTCCCTCACCACCTTCCCTCTCCCTCACCACCTTCCCTCTCCCTCACCACCTTCCCTCTCCCTCACCACCTTCCCTCTCCCTCACCACCTTCCCTCTCCATCACCACCTTCCCTCTCCCTCACCACCTTCCCTCTCCCTCACCACCTTCCCTCTCCCTCACCACCTTCCCTCTCCCTCACCACCTTCTCTCTCCCTCACCACCTTCCCTCTCCCTCACCACCTCAACTCACTTGGGCTGGACGATAGAGCGACGGTCTCACTTCATGCAGGTCGGTGTTCAATCCCCGACCGTCCAAGTGGTTGGGCACTATTCTTTTGGCGAGGAGAAGGGGCTTTCTCCTCGCCTCCCTTTCTGTGCTTTCTCCTCACCTCTCTTTCTGTGCTTTCGTTCTTTATAGTGCTTTCTGACCTTTCCTTAACTCTCCCAGAGGACTTCACATCCACTTCTTCGACATCCCGGACTCTCCAGGCGAGGGATTAACACTGTCGAGTTAGGTGCTAAAGCTATGAGGCGGGGCCCTAGAGCTAAATCTCGCTCCCCGCCCCCGGTACAGCCCACACACATCAGTATCAAACACCTTTGCGTGTTCAGAGATTGTTGACAGGAGGTTATTTTGCCTTAACTATCTTAAATGTTATTGCTGTTGTTTGGTGTACACAATGTTATGTTACTACGTCGCGTTATTGTATATCATTGTTTGGGGACAAGAAGCCCGCCAGGCTTACCCAGTTAGTTGGGGGTAGAAATAGCCTAACCTACTTACTCTAGCCCTTTGAGGTGTATTTTATTGTCTCAATAAACGTACTTGAACTTGAACCGAGTTACCCCTAGCTAAGGACAAGGGTGACCGCGCGGCCTCCTACACCCTGGTCATAACCAGGCTGCAGCAAGGACAGTAGGGCAGGATAGAGGGGTAGACCTGGCCAGGCTGGCCTCGCCGTAGTCAGTGTTAGGTAAGCGTAACGAGTGAGACCGCACACATCCTCTGCACCCACCATTATGAGTAAGTGTATATCATCATCATATATCCAAATATAGCGCTAATGTATGAAGAGCCATGATGTCACTGGATAGTCATGATGTCACTATGGCTGGCAGTACTCACCTAGTTGTATTTGCGAGGAATGAGCCACAGCTCTTGGGTCCCACCTCCCAACTCGTAATCGTCTGGTGTATCGGTTCCAGAGCCTATTGGGTGCGGGTATATCAATATTTAAGGCTGTGTGTGGAGCCTACTTCCACGTCTTCACTTCTTAGCGTATACCAGTTGGTCACTACTCCGACTGAAAACATTCTTTCTAATGTCTGTGGCTCATATGGGAACTTAGTTTCCACCAATGTCCCTCCGATCGTGTAAGCCCTGCTAAATAATCGGTCTTGTCTGCCCCGTCTATTTCTCTGAGTATTTTGTAAGTGGTAATCATGTCTCACATAGTACTTCTCTCTTCCAGCGACGTGAGGTTTAACACCTCTATTCTTCATAGCTCATATCTCTCAGCTCCGGGTCTAGTCTGATGACATACCTCTGAACTTTCTGATTAAATTTTGTGTTATGTGGTCTTCTAGCAATAGAGAGGAGGGAAAATATTAACCTCCAAGTCTTTTTTGTCTGTCCGATTTCAATAGGATTTCCTTTCTCATGCGTCTCGTCTCAGGTTCCCCGAACCCAACTTGCTTATTTTACACTTGCTGGAGTTGATCTCTATTAGCCAGTTGAGGGCCCATATATTCATTTTGTCCAGGTCCTCTTGTAGTTTCATGCAGTCTTCCATTGTATTTATCCTCATAATTTATCCTTCCAGCATTTCTCGCTGAAGAAGTTCATCATATCCTGAGGGAGCTTTCTCCTGAGTTATATTTCTCGTGCAGATTGTCTCTCATTTCCTCCTAGTTTCTCCTCCTGGTACCAATTGTTACCTCCTGGCCTCTCTCAGGAGTACCTCACTACTCTCTCTTTACCTCCTGGCCTCTCTCAGGAGTACCTCACTACTCTCTCTTTACCTCCTGGCCTCTCTCAGGAGTACCTCACTACTCTCTCTTTACCTCCTGGCCTCTCTCAGGAGTACCTCACTACTCTCTCTTTACCTCCTGGCCTCTCAGAAGTACCTCACTACTCTCCCTTTACCTCCTGGTCTCTCAGCAGTACCTCACTACTCTCCCTTCACCTCCTGGTCTCTCAGGAGTACCTCACTACTCTCTCTTTACCTCCTGGCCTCTCTCAGGAGTACCTCACTACTCTCCCTTTACCTCCTGGCCTCTCTCAGGAGTACCTCACTACTCTCCCTTTCTCTTCAAATG